ACGAACTGAGTTTCATGTTAGTCACCCCTCTTCAACAAGGCATTAATTCAAATTTGATGAAACGAAACTTTCTTGTCAAATTTATTCATCAACTCCCCTCTCAACTAAACAACATCAAATCCTAGTACACATTATATGAAGTTATTTATTTATACACTGAAATTTGGTTGTTAGAACTCAATCGATACGTCATGACAAGTGTAGATCAACTGTGTCGAGTAGGAGGCAGTTATTCATTGAAAACTATGGTAGATGGTTACGAAATAGTGTGGATTGATTGAAGTTAGTTATTAAAACATTGTTGGTTTTCGAATCTATGGTCAGGGGGTTAGTCGTTCACACACAAGACCGTAGGTCCTGTGATAGCTCTCCGTGTGTGGACTTCTAAATACACACTGTTGATGAGTTCCATGCTAGAACAAACCGGCCGATCAAAGCTTCCAGGCTTTTAGTGAAGGTTCCATATTGTGTGATTCATGGTTTCAATACACCATCATAAGACTATCGACTACTAACATGATATTACTTACTATTCAGCAATCAATCATGTTTACACTTCATGTATTTATTATTTGATATTTTATTCAATGAAATGTTCTCCTGTTTTTCTCTCCTTTGAAAATCAATATTATTAGCTACTGGTTCTTATGTTAGTGTCACTCAATTATCTGAAGTAACCAATGGACGTATTGGCCAACTACCGAATGGTACATTATTACTATCCAATGTTGATGAATCAGATCCAAGAGAATTTTTATGTTTTCTTAAACCAGGTAGATTATCAACTGCTGCACAACGTAGTTCAGCAGTTAATTTAGAAGTACATAGTAAGTGAACTTGTTCTTTCTTTTTAGTTGTTTTGAAATGTTCTAATCGATTTGTGTATATTCAAGGTTTAAATTTATATAAATTGCATCCAATCAAATTGCTCGATTGAATTTTTTTTCAAATGAACATCAATCTGACAACATAAGCTGATTGGCTGATAGTGTAAGATTGCTATTTGTTAATTGGTTGATTTTGATATGATGTTTTCATGTCATAAGAAAAAAGAACTATGAATACACATGGGTTCTGTCTACGTGTCTACGTGAAAAGTATCCGTGTCTTCTTCTACTAGTGTTCAAGTTACTGCAGTGTAGATTAAGTCTGAGGTCATTGGAAGTGTCTAGAGAACTAGACCTTCACTTCAGTACCAGTAAGTATTTAGGCGAAAAAGAAAAATTGTCTCGTCACTGTTTTCTATATAATATATGGAGTAGTGATCGAGTTGTTAGAACGCTTCAAATTTTAGCTGCAATTTCAAAAATCACCAAAGAAAGGAGATCTCAGCAAGTGTGAGAACTAACTACACAGGCATCACTCTTCTCTCAATACCAGGCAAAGTCTTCAACAGGGTATTGTTAAACAGAATGAAGGACTTCCTTCGTAGACGTCCAACTTCGAGATCAACAGGCCGGATTTCGTAAGGATCGATCATGTACTGACGTATTGCTACATTACGGATCATTGTGGAACAATCAATTGAATGGAACTCACCACTCTACATCAACTTCATTGACTGTGAGAAAGCATTCGATAGCGCGGACATGAAAACACTATGGAGGCTTATTCGATACTACGGTGTGCCTGAGAAAATAGTCAACATCATACAGAATTCTTATGATGGATTCAACTTCAAAACCGTGCACGGAGGTCAGCTGGCAGACTCCTTCGAGGTGAAGACCGGTGTCAGACAAGGTTGCTTACTCTCACCCTTCCTCTTCCTCCTGATGCTCGACTGGATTATGAAGACGTCGACATCTGAAGGGAAGCCCGGTATTCAGTGGACAGCTAAGACGCAGCTGTAAGATTTGGACTTCGCAGATGACTTGACTCTTCTGTCCCACATGCAACAATAAATGCAAGAGAAGACGACCAGTGTAGCAGCAGCCTCAGCAGCAGCAGTAGGTCTCAACATACATAAAGGAAAAAGCGAAATTCTCAGATGCAACACAACATGCACCAACCAAATCACTCTCCTTGGAGTACGTTAACACCTTTACATATCTGGGCAGCATCATCGACGAGAAAGGTGGATCCGATGCAGATGTGAGGCCGCGGATTAGCAAAGAAAGGGCTGCATTTCTACAGTTGAAAAATATCTGGAACTCCAAACAACTTTCAACCAAAACTAAAATCAGCATTTTCAATACAAATGTGAAGACAGTTCTGCTGTATGGAGCGGAAACTTGGAGAACTACGAAAGGCATCATCCACAAGATACAAGTGTTTATTAACAGTTGTCTATGCAAAATACTTCGGATTCGTTGGCCAGACACCATCAGCAACAACCTACTGTGGGAGAGAACAAACCAGATTCCAGTGGAGGAGGAAACCAGGAAGAAGCGATGGAAGTAGATAGGACACACACTATGAAAAGCACCTAACTGCGTCACGAGACAAGCCCTCACATGGAACCCTCAAGGCAAAAGGAAAAGAGGAAGTCCAAGGAACACATTACGCAGAGAAATAGAGAAAGACATGAGAAGAATGAACAAAAGCTGGAAAGAACTAGAAAGGGAAGTTCAGGACAGAGTTGGTTGGAGAAAACTGGTAGGCGGCCTATGCTCCATTGGGGGTAAGAGGCGTAAGTAAGTAAGTAAGTCAAAAGTTGAGACTGCTGCACTCTCAGTATCTACTGTTTGTTTGGGTAACCGTATAATATTTCTTGACTTACTTATCATAGTATACACTCATGACCCCCATCTAGAGTCAGACTTATGACTTCAAGGTCAAAGAATGAAACAAACATTTTCTTTCCTAAATGTTGACAGTAGGGGACTGCATTTGATCCAGTCTCTGTTGACATGTGCATATTTTAATCGGGTACCTTGTTATAGCCACTCTTTTACGGAAATTTGTTTACATTTTAGTATAAAATTGAAGTGTATATTTTCCGGTTATATAATAGGAAGTAAACGGATCAACAAACTATTTTTCATTCTGCCTTATATAACAGATCGTTTTTAGTCTAGTAAACAGGAGTTTCTTTTCCTTAGGTTTGATAATAGTTACAGCTTTCGTGTGTGTATGTGTGTGGAATAATACATCCCTTAAGATTTCGAACTCGTATCATCCTTTACTGCTATAAAACTATATTAACTCGTTCTTAATCATTATATATATTTACTTAGTGGCTAATAGGTTCGTTTCATCGATTGACGGTTTCATCAGCTAATAGGGGCGAATATATTGTCTGTTAATGTTGACAAACTAACTCTGGATTCACTTGAATACTGATCGAATTCAAGTGAATAACGTTGTTATGCTCGTCTATAGGTATGCTTAAAACTATTACGGGTTCACTTCCGTCGAATAACGAGAACAAAACAATGAACCAGCGTCCAGGTAGCTTATTGTGATCCCTTGACCAAATTGTACCAGCAAGAAATCTTGATATAGCGTAGAAAGTGTATATACTACAAGCACAGCTCAGCCAGTACACAATGAATCCAAGCACTCAAACTGCGTTTATTTGTACGCCATAGAGACGTCCTTGGGACAATCACAAAAATAGCACACTGAGATGACACAGTAACCAATCACAGCCAAGGATTTTCCTGGTGGGAAATGTGATCTCAAGGTCAAGTGATTGGTCCATGAAATGAATCCAAAATAAAGATATTTATCAAACAAGTTCTATGGATTTCAACATCCCTAATAAACGTGTCCGAAGTCAAAAGACTATCTTGATCACTTGAAAAGACAAATTTACACTAGATCGTAATTGGTTCAATCTAAGCTTACATTCAAGGTAATTAGACGACAACAATGATGTTGATAAGAATAACAACAACAACAGCCAATCGTAAAACAGTTTACCATAAAAAAAATAACAGGCTTATAATGTTTATTCATGCTAAATGTTTCAACCAATAAGAATACAACCAGTTTATCGATCATTACTTCAACCAATGAAATACATGAAAAATGATAGATAAACCTTGATTAGTAGTAGTAGTAGTAGTAGTATACGAGAACAGCCGCTTTCTATCTTTATTAGTGATGATTGTAACCTGACGGCAATATAGAGCCAGACCTCATAGAATGGCTATATATGTCAAACGAGACTGATCAATTGAAGTTCTAAACTACTGGTTGAGTAAGTCGACCAGTTACAACGTACAATTTCGTACGTACGTACATCATCAGTGCAGGTTTCCATACCACTTATTAGCACAGAGATGCAGTTGTCGCTTCAAATCCCATAGTAGTAGAGGTAGTAGAAGTGTATTAGCATTAGTTAGAGAGATTAGTGTTAGAAGATATTTACTCAAGAAATATATCCCAATGAAATAAATCTAAAAAGAGAAAGATAAAGGTAATGAGAAATTCAGAAGATTAGAGTTTCAGAGAACACAAAGAGTGTGTATGCACCCACGCAATTGCAAATGATTTTGAATCATGTTATTCAGGGTCTCTTATGATCGATCACTATCATCTCGCGGTCCCCAACCAAGTAGTCTACACCTACCTGCATGACTCAATCCAGTTGTTAGTCGCTTTGGTCTTGCTGCCCCTGGCTTTCTTCCAACCTACTCCAACACCAAAAAACATAGCTCGTCGAGGCAGTCGGTCGTTAGGCATACGTAACACATGTCCCAACCACCTCAACTGATGAAGTTTCATTACTTCATCTGTTCATCTGCCATCCTTACCTAGTACTCGTTTCCTAACGACAGCATTGCTTACTCGGTTGTCCCAGGATATACGAGCAATGCTTCGGAGACACCTGTGATCGAAAACCAGTAAACTACGAATATCTTCTACGTTTCACCTTAGGCAAAACTGTCATAGTGTGTACTGCTGAACAGTAGTGTCAAACAAAAGCACAGCATTGAAACCATGAATCGATCGACCATTTTTAGATCACCATTAGAGATCTGGAAGCAATGGACGGCCGTTTTGTCCTAGTATGGGACTCATCAGTGACAGTGCGTATCTACTATACCCACTTGTTTAGGGCAGTTGTTCAATGACTCTAAGTTTACAATGGTTGTCAATAAATGGTCTAAATTATTATTCCAGTCGGTCAACCTGTACAAACATGAGTGTGAAATTTTTGTATTATAACTATACTACTTATTCGTTAGTGTGGATAGGAGTTAGCAGTGTAATCCAGAACGCGAGTTTCGTCCCATTTGGAACTCGTCTTTAGCTGAAAATACCTAACTTTCAGAGTGAATGTTAACTCTGGAAATCGAACCCAGTACCTTACGCTTCAAATGCAGGTGCGTTATCCACTGTGTATGGATAGTCACTGGTTTGAGCAATCGGGTGAAGAATAATTCATTTGTATTGAGTGTTTGAATCTTCCTAACCGGATGTGTCTGCTTCGACGACGAGCTATGTTTTGTGGTGTAGGAGTAAGCTGGAAGAAAGCTAGGGGCGGCCAAACCAAAACATGGCACAAATCCATGAAGTCATTGACGAGTGGACTTAGCCATGTCGGTAGTTGTCGACTACCTGGTTGGGGTCCGCGAGATGATAATAATCGATGGTTAGAAACCTTGAATGACATGGCTCAAAACCGTTTGCCATGGCGCCGGAGCATCCATTCGTTGTGTTCTCTCAAATCCTAATCTTCTGGATTATTCAACACCTCTAGTTTTGACTTTTTAAACTTTTCTCATTGAATCAGATTTCTTGAATAATATCTTCTAATACTAACTTCTCCGATTACTTCTAATACCTTTACTACCTCTACTACTATTGGATTTGAATTGACAATTAAATCTCTGTGCTGATGTGGTATGGCAACATGAACTGATCTACTTACGTACAAATTTCTACGTTGCATCTGACTGACTGACTGACCCTAAGATGAAACACATACGATCCATAGATCTACTTTAGAGTGACTTATCTATAGAACGTTAATTATTTTTTCTTCAAATTATTGATCGCACGTTTCCCTTTCCCGTTTTTTTTCTCTCATTTCATTATTGTACCACAGTACCTGCACGTATTGACCCATTGGATGCCGTGGAAAAAGTTCGTGGTTCACGATTCAATTTAACTTGTAGTGTACATGGTGATCCGGAAGATTTAAAAGCATCTTGGTATTATCGTTTATCACCGAAATCACGTTGGCAAATTATTGATAAACCATGTGTTGTACCATTGGCTTACATTGAGAATGGTTCTCGTAGTAGTAGTAGTAGTAGTAGTAGTAGTAGTAGCGGTGCTGCTGCACAACGTCACAATGATGGTGTCACATTGGATTCTTCTGAAATTGATGATAGTACTAATAGTAATAATAATAATAGAATATATTCTGATCTTCAAGATTTATCATATGATACTTCAGACAAATCCTCTTCTTCGACGTCATCATTATCATCTACCGAAACCAACAAAGATTGGACTCCTAGTTTAGCGGATTGTCAAAGTTATGCAACTGAAGGTTTAGAAAGTGGTATATTATTTCGTCAAGTAAGTAAAAATTCATCCGTTCTTTTTTCCTTAAATTATAGTCATTTGATTTCAATGTAAATCTGTTTCATTCTAAGTTGATTTTATATTCCAGATGTGAAGTTGGATACAACAAGACAACCGGCCAATCGACAAGACAATCTGTCGCAAATCGATTACATATTTAGACTGATATATCAGATGTTTATGTAGTGAGATCGACGAAGGTGATGATGGATGCGTGCTGTTTGAGGACTCAGTCTAAATTGTCATACCATGATCTCAACATGAAGTGATGAAATGATCAGGACAAGAACCTCAGAGTAGTAGTAGTAGGAGAAAACATTCAGAAGAAATAAAAATATTTTGTTTTTGAAGAAAAAATGAATTCGTTAAATGAAAGCGTATAAAATAATGTCAAATCTTAAGATTTTAATGAAGAAATGCTTGAATGTATTTGCTCTTTTGTAACGGATTCTGAGTTATCGCATGAACTCCAGCTGTAGGTAGTGTTAACATCTGGCAACATAACTCAATACACTAGTCAATCACTTAATTGTTTCAAGTGATGTTTTAATTCAGTTATTCATTGCTTCTTTCCTGTTTATTCTTAGATCAGTTAGTCAGTTACGACGTGGAACGTCGTACGTATGTACATAAGTTCATGTTGCCATACCACATTAGCACACAGAGACGCAAATGTTGAATCAAATCCCATTATGATTGAGATAGTAGAGGTATTAATGATAATGAAGAAGACTAGGGTTTGAAGATATTATTCAAGAAGTATAATTCAGTGAAATAAGGTTATAAAGACAAAGGTAGAGGTGCTGACGATTCCAGAAGATTAGGATTTGAGAGAGCTCAAAGAATGGATGCACTTGCGTCATTGCAAACGATTTTGAGCCATGTCGTTCAAGGTCTCTAACCATTGATGACTTTCGTCTCGCCGACCCCAACCAGGTAGTCTAGTCTAGTCTATCAGCATGACTCAGTCCACTTGTCAGTGACTTCATGGATTTGTGACATGTTTTCGTTTGGCCGCCCCTAGCCTTCTTCCCACTTACCACTACACCACGAACCATAGCTCGTCGCGGCAGTCGATCGTTAGCCATACATAACACATATCCTAACTGATGAAGTTTCACTGCTTCATCTATTGAGCTTGCCACCCTTACATTGCACTCGTTACCTAACGACAGAATTGCTCACTCGGTTGTCACAGGATATACAATCAATACTTCGGAGATACCTATGGTCGAAAACCAGTGACCTACCAACATCTTCTACTCTTAACGGCCATGTTTCGCATCCCTATAGGAGAACGGAACGAACTGCTCCGCAGTACACCCGCCCTTTGGTTAGCGAACGGATATCACGCCTACTCCATAAGTGACGCAGGTTGGCAACGCCAATCGAGCCTTCTGTATCCGAGCTGAGATTTCGTCAGTCACTAGGTCATCAGCGTTGATGAAACTCCCGAGATAAGTGAAGCGGTCAACACTCTCGACTACTTCACTCCGTATCATTAGTTCAGGTACCAATGAAACCCAATCTTGAATCAACATTTTGCATTTCGAGGGGGAAAACCGCATCCCGAACATGCTCGCATTGTTACTTGAGGCAGTCAGAAGACTCTGCATTTTATATAGGACTGCTATGATTTTCTAAGATCATTGAACTAATGAACACGTTTCCGTTACTTTATTCTTCTAAAAAATCCCCTCCCCCATATCACATCCTGTCATGTATGTATGTATGAATGTGTATGTATGTTAATCTTTCCCCCTTTTCTTTTTATTTTAGATTTCATTTTTTAAACCAAATAAACGTGGTTTGGATAAACAATTACAATTTTTAAATTTAAAAGAAATTCATATGGGTGAATATTTATGTAAAGCATCAAATAAATACAACTATAATTCATTTGGTCAACTTATTGAAGTGGAAGCATTTGTACAATTAACTGTTATTTGTAAGTTTATTTTTTGGTTGGTGTTGTGTTATTGTTATTATGAAACTAATCGATTATTAGTGTGTTTATATATACGTACTTACTGTACGCTTGAAACTATTACGGGTTCATCTGAGTCGATAAAACGCGAACGAGACAGTGAACCAGCCAGCGTCCAGGTAGGTTACCTTGATCCGAAAACCGCTAAAGAGAAGTCTTGATATGGCGTAGAATGTCTATTCTACAAACATACCCAGTAAGCACACAACTCTCGTTTATTTATACATCATAGTGTAGTGTGTCGATTTACTGCGTGTTCTTAAGCTCGGTAATCAGCTCGTCTAGACAATCGTTACGAAGTAGCGTCTGACGGTTACATGTCAGAAGGTGAACTCGTAGTGTTGAATACGTTTATTTCGGACACACCACAAAGCGAAACGGAGAAGCGATGTGAATAGTGAATTGGAGAAGGCTGTTGAGCCAACTCCAAGAGATAGAGCATAACGAAGAATTTATAGTCAGACAAATATAAGACAGACATGTGACAAGCACACATGAATAAAAGCGATTAATAGTTGACAAGGTCAAATGACAAGTGGGACACGTCATGTGAGCTCATACAAACCAGACAACAATGATAAGAACGAATGGCACATATAAATTGTTGCAACACAAATTATGGCTTGGTTGAATCGATTAATCGAAAGGGCTTAACCAAATTAAATGTAAGCGAACTGAAATGTATGTGGAGGCACTACAATAGAAAAGTCCTTGAGACAGTCACAAAAATGGCACACTGAAATACACAGCAGCCGATCACGGCCATGGATTTTGCTGGTGGTAATGAAACCTCAAGTTCAGCTGATCAAAATAAAGAAGCAGCTCGATTTACTCTTCGTGTATCCGGTAGCCCTGATGCTGCTTCCCGGGGTCTTGCTGGCGTAGGCATAGCATTGAGTCGTAGGGCAGAACAATCTCTCCTTGACTGGATCCCTGTAGATAGTCGCTTGTGCGCTGTCCGACTAAACGGGACAGTAAGGACTCGGAAAGATAGGGACAATCGCCGTTGCCTCTTCATCGTATCTGCCTATGCCCCCACTGAATGCAGTTCAGACGAGGTTAAAGATGAGTTTTACAGAAAGCTTTCGGACCTCCTCCAAAAAGCTAGGCGCTCTGATATAGTAATAATGGCTGGTGACTTTAATGCTCAAGTAGGTAGACTAAGTGAGCAGGAGAGACACCTAGGTGGATGTTATGGTGTCGCGGCTCAGAGAACAGACAATGGTGACCGTCTGTTGCAAGTATGCTCAGACAAACGCCTATTCTTAGCAAACACTAACTTTAGGCATAAGGAAAAGCATCTGTTGACCTGGCGACCTCCAAAGTCGTCTCAACGTTAGACTCAACTAGATCACATCGCCATCAGCCACCGATGGAGGGGTTCGATAGAGGACTGTCGCTCGTTCTGGGGCACATGTCTAGATTCAGATCATGCCCTAGTGCGAGCGCGTATTTGTTTGAAGCTTACTGGACGTAGGAAAGACACCGTAAGAAAGCCTCTTAGGGTTTTGCTTAATGATAATAAGGCGAAAAATATATTTCAGGAACAACTAGAAAGACAGTTAGGCGACCATTTAAGCGATTCCCATCCGGAAGCAGGATGGAATGATATCAAAAAGGCTGTGGAAACAGCAGTGATATCTGCTAGTAAGGTTGACCATAAGGCTAGAATGAAACCGTGGATCTCAGTAGCATCCACCGATCTGATGGATGCCCGAAAACTCATCCCACCTGGCTCTGAACATGATGAAGAACGAAGTCAACTTAGGCGCAGACTTATAAAAAGCCTACGTAACGATCGCGAACAGTGGTGGGTGGCGAAAGCAAAAGCGATGGAAAAGGCAGCGGCGATAGGCAACAGTAGACAACTTTTCCGCCTTATTAAAGAAACTGGTATTAAGAACCCGAATGTGAGTGAGACTATCTCGGAAAAGGATGGTCTTATTATCCATTCTCAATCCAGGAGACTGGATCGATGGGCAGAACACTTTAGGGATCAGTTCAACTGGCCACGAGCCACTCTTCGGTTACCCACGATCTCCAGTCATCCTGAATGGCAAATCGACGTAAGTCCCCCTAGTCTTAATGAAGTTGAGAAAGCGTTAGGAAATCTGAAACGAGGACGAGCTGCAGGTCCTGATAGACTTACCCCTGAGATATTTAAGGATGGAGGTCCAGTTTTATCAGCTAGGTTGACTGAGATCTTAGGTAGAATCTGGGAACTGGACGTAATCCCATCCGACTGGTCTCAATCCTTGATTGTCCCAATCTATAAGAAAGGACAGAAGTCTTCTTGTGACAATCACAGGGGAATAAGCCTAACTAACATAGTATCTAAAATATTGGCCTCAATAATACTTCGACGCTTAACGAAAGCTCGTGAAGAGCAAACTCGGGAAAACCAATCTGGTTTTCGACCTGGACGTGGCTGTATAGACCACATTTTCACACTACGACAGGTCCTGGAACACAGACACACATTTAGGCGTCCTACAATAGTTGTTTTCCTGGACCTTAAGGCGGCATTCGACTCAAGGGATCGTGAGGTTCTGTGGCAGTGTCTGTCATTGAAAGGTGTACCAAAGAAGTACATTAACCTTATACAAGCCCTATACTCGAACACCACTGGTCGAGTGAGGGCTTATGGCGAACTGTCACCGGAATTCTCTACATCAAGTGGTGTCCGTCAGGGATGTCCACTTTCTCCATTCTTGTTTAATTTTATCATAGACATGCTCCTAGAGTTAACATTATCCTCGTCTGAATTTTCAGGAGTAGACCTTCTACCAGGTGGCTCGCTTATTGACTTAGAATATGCCGATGACATTGTCCTACTTGGTGAAGACGCTGAGGAAATGCAGTGTTTTCCGACTACCCTAAGCAACAATGCAAGCATGTTCGGGATGCGGTTTTCCCCCTCGAAATGCAAAATGTTGCTTCAAGACTGGGTGTCATCGGCACCTGAACTAGTGATAAGGAGTGAAGTGGTCGAACGTGTAGACCGCTTCACCTATCTTGGGAGTCTCATCAGTGCTGATGGCCTGGTGACTGACGAAATCTCGGCACGGATACAGAAGGCTCGATTGGCTTTTGCCAACCTGCGTCACTTATGGCGTAGGCGAGATATCCGTTTGCTGACTAAAGGACGAGTGTACTGTGCAGTGGTTCGCTCCGTCTTACTTTATGGCTGTGACACATGGCCAATGAGAGTAGAAGATACTCGTCGGTTATTGGTTTTCGATCATAGGTGTCTTCGAAGCATTGCTCGTATATCGTGGGACACCCGAGTGAGCAACGCTGTTATTAGGAAACGGGTACTAGGTAAGGATGGCAGATCAATCGATGAAGTGGTGAAACTTCATCAGTTGAGGTGGTTGGGACACGTGTTGCGTATGTCTAACCACTGACTGCCTCGACGAGCTGTTTTGTGTTGTAGGTTTAGGCTGGAAGAAAGCTAGGCGCGGTCAAACCAAAACATGGCATAAAAGCATTGATAAGTGGACTGTGCCATGTAAGTAGTTGTCGACTACCTGGTTAGGGTCCACAAGATGATAATAATCGATGGTTAGATACCCTGAATGATATGGCTCAAAATCGTTTGAAATGGCTCAGGTGCATCCACTCTTTGAGCTCTCTCAAATCCTAATCTTCTGGATTAGTCAACACCTCTAGTTTTGACTTTCTAAACTTTTCTCACTGAATCATACTTCTTGAATAATATCTTCCAATTCTAACCTCTCCGATTACTTCTCATACCTTTACTACCTCTTCTACTATTGGGTTTGAATCGACAATCATATCTCTGTGCTGATGTGGTATGACAACATGAACTGATGTACTAACGTACGAAGTTCTACGTTGCATCTGACTGACTGACTGACTGATCAGCCCGTGCTCGCTAACGTGAAATCCGAAATTAAGGTATTTATCAAGCGAGTTCTGGGGATCTTACGTCCCCAACACTTCTCCCCTATTTTTAATAGCGTGCACTGTTGGTGTCGACTCGCATCTTGACTGTTGTTTGCCTCTGTCTAAGAGGATATCTTCTGGAAGGGAGAACAGCTTGCTGCTGAGTTTCTTCTCGTGGTGGGGCTGCCGGTAGGTTGAATGTATCAAGCAGGATGTCAAGGGGAAGGCTTTTTTGTTCTTGATGGTCGATCTTGGTCTAGCTGTCTGCGTATATGATTTCGATGACGTGACCAATCGTGTTCACTTCAATTAATAAATCAGTAGCTACGTAGAACTTCGTACGTAACTACATCAGTTCACATCACCATACCACATTATCACAGAGATGTAATTGTCAATTGGAAATCCAATAGTAGTAGAGGTATTAGCAGTAGTCGTAGAGGTTAGGATTAGCTGTTATTCAAGAAGTATGATTCAATGAGATAAGTTCAGGAAGACAAAACTAGAAGTGTTGATGAATCCAGAAGCTTAGGATTTGAGAGAACACAAAGAATGGATACACCTGCGCCATTGCAAACGATTTTGGGCCATGTCATTCAGAGTCTCTAACCATGGATTATTATCATCTCGCAGACCCCAACCAGGTAGTCTACACCTACCAACATGACTCAATCCACTTGTCAGTGATTTCATGGATTTCTGCCATGTTTTGGTCTGAGCGCCCCTAGCTTTCGTCCAACCTATTTCTACACCGCTCGACAAGGCAGTCGGTGGTTAGGCATACGTAACACATGTCCCAACCACCTTAACTGATGAAGTTTCATTACTTCATCGATTGATTTGCCATTCTTACCTAGCACCCGATTCCTAATAACAGCGTTGCTCACTCGGGTGTCCTACGATATACTAGCAATGCTTTTAAGACTGCTATGATCGAAAACCAGTAACCTAGGAACATCTTCGACTCTTGCTGGCCATATTTCACAACCATAAAGTAAGACGGAGCGAACTACTGCACAGTACACTCGTCCTTTAGTCAGCAAACGGATATCTCACCTTCACCATAAGTGACGCAGGTTGGCAAAAGCCAATCGAGCCTTCCTTATCCGTACTGAGATTTCATTCACCATGCCATCAACACTGATGAGACTCCCTAGATAAGTGAGGCGGTACACACGTTCGACTACTTCACTTCACTGTGACAACATGTCCAAACCATCGAAGTCGTCGGTATTTCAACACGATGACATCAATTAAATTATTATTGCTGTGTGCCTGAAACACACGCACACACACATACATGAAAACAGTAATATTATCGTTTTGTTGTATTCACTCTCAACATTGTTTCCTCAATTTTTTTTCCCTACAAACAGCTGTACCGGATTCTGTTCAATTTGTTTATAATAGTTCGAGAACTACCGCTACAAGTGTCTCATTCGCATGGTTGCCACCGTTACGTGATGGTAATAAACCGATACGTCAATATCGAATTCGTTATTCACATTCTGAGCCAAGTGTTGTTGTCAATAGTCCAGTGTCATCGATACAACAGGTGATCTCATGTGTTTGGTCATGTTTTGTTTTTGTTATTATGATTATTAGGAGGGCTCGACTGTCTTTCGCCAAGTTGCATCGCCTATGGCGCAGGCGAGGTAGCCGTTTGCTAACCCGAAGGACGAGTCTACTGTGCAGCAATTCGCTCCGTCTTACTTTATGGCTGTGAAACATGGCCGGTGAGATTAGAGGATATTGGTAGATATTGCTTGTCTTCGATCATAGGTATCTCCGAAGCAGTGGTCGTATATCCTGAGACAGTCGAGCAAAAATCTAAAGTCTAGTGATCATGAGATCACTTATTTAGGGATTATGAACAGTAATAATTGGTCTGTTCAATAGTTCAGTCAGTCACTCAGTTACAACGTAGACCTGCGAGCGTGAACGCATTGCACAAGGGACAGCTGCTTGAGGCCGGTCACTCACGGCCTTTTTATGAGTTTTTAAAGTGTTAGCTCCATTCTTCTAAAAGGTATTACCGCCGGAGATGAAAATCCGTGAAGTAAGGTGAGGTGTAACAATTTTAGGGTTGGGCTTTTCTAACTCCCTGCTTCCTTGTGGGAAGGCAGCATCACTGCAGTTGCTGGTTGTCCGATTGGAAACACCTTACTGCTGTCACACCCCTCTCCAGTCACCAGTACCACTTCGCACTCAGACGTTGAGTAGCTACTTTTAGTCTTAACCGGTGTGAGGCAAGGTTGCTTACTCTCACCCTTTCTCTTTCACCTGGTCAACGACTGGATTATGAAAACGTCAACAGCTGGAGGGAAGCACGGTATCAACTGGACAGTCAGGACGCAGCTCGACGATCTGGACTTCGCAGATGACTTGGCTCTTCTATCGCACACGCAACAACAAATGCAAGAGAAGACGACCAGTGTAGCAGCAGCCTCTGCAGCAGTAGGTCTCAACACACATAAAGGAAATAGCCAAATTCTCCGATGCAACACAACATGCACCAACCAAATCACTCACTCTTGATGGAGATGACTTGGAGGACGTTAACACCTTTACATATCTGGGCAGCATCATCGACAATCAAGGTGGATCCAATGCAGATGTGAGGGCACGGATTGGCAAAGCTAGGGCTGCATTTCTACAGTTGAAAAATATCTGGAACTCCAAACAACTTTCAACCAAAACCAAAATCAGGATTTTCAATACAAATGTCAAGACAGTTCTACTGTATGGAGCGGAAACATGGAGAACTACCAAAGCCATCATCCAGAAGATACAAGTGTTTATTAACAGTTGTCTACGCAAAATACTTCGTATTCGTTGGCCAGACACAATCAGTAACACCGTACTGTGGGAGAAAACAAACCAGATTGCAGTGGAGGAGGAAATCAGGAAGTAGCGGTGGAAGTGGATAGGACAGACACTACGAAAAGCACCTAACTGCGTCACGAGACAAGCCCTCACATGGAACCCTCAAGGCAAAAGGAAAAGAGGAAGGCCAAGGAACACACTACGCCGAGAAATAGAGAAAGATATGAGAGGAATGAACAAACATTGGAGAGAACTGGAGAGGGAAGCCCAGGACAGAGTTGGTTGGAGAAAACTGGTGGGCAGCCTGTGCTCCATTGGGGGTAAGAGGCGTAAGTAAGTAAGTAAGTAAGTACGCCAATTGACCTGCCTGGCATGCTGGAACCTTCAGGAACATATGTTCTAGCCAGTATAGCTCGGTTGGGTCATCGCGATATGCAAGCCTAACCACCACGTCAAGGTAGCAGCTGCTGACGGGATATTCAAGAATTGAGCAAATCCAAAGTCCAGTCATCATGAAACCATTTATTTAGGGATCATGAACAGTAATAATTGGAAAGTTAAGGAAATTCTCGGTGTTCTAGTGAGAGTACGTGACCAGTGGAGTTCAACCCTGTCGGGTCTGTGTAGGCAGTAACTACCGAAGACAAATGGGTGAGGTTGCGAAGAAATCCTTAGATTGATCAAAGTTAAACATTAGTATTGTTCGATGTCAGCCGGTTAAGGGGTCCAGCATTTAAGCGTTCGCACACGAGGTCGGAGGTCCTTGGTTCGAATCCTGTGGGTAGCATGAGTTGTGGATGCGCACTGCTGATGAGTCACATACCAGGACGAAACGGCCGTCAATCAGTGCTTCCAGATTTCTAATGGTGGTAGTCTAACAATGATTGATTGATGATTTCAACGTAACACAATGACCTCCATAATATTGAAATGTAAACATATTTGTGTGCTGTATGGCAACCTGGAATTATGTACTGATATACGAAGTTCTACTTTGTAACTCACTGACGGATGAGTAACTAGTGAGCGCATGATAATTTTTAGTATAGTCAGTCAAAATCAGTCAGTTACAAAGTAAAACTTTGAACGTACGTACATCACATCAACACAGAGAGATAGGATTGTGAATTGTCATCCATTAGTGGTAGATGTAGTAGAAGAATTAGCGGTGATCGAAAGGATCAGGGATCAGCGATAATATTGGTGAAGTATAATTTAGTTAAATAAACGTAAAAAGAGAAAGATAAATGTGATGATGAGTTCAGAAGAAGACAGATAATCGATACACCTGTGCAATTGCAAACGATTTTGAGCTATGTCGATTACTATATCATCTCACGGACTCCAACCAAGTAGTCGACACTTGTCAACATGTCTTAGTCCATTTGCCGCTGATTTCATAGATTTGTACCATGTTTTTGTGTAATCTCCCATTACTACCTTCCAACCTACTCCTACACTACAAAACATTGCTGGTCGAGGCAGTCGGTGGTTAGGCATACGTAACACTCGTCCTAACCACCCCAACTGATGAAGTGCCCACCTCTTAACAACACCATTGCCTACTCGTCGGTCACAGAATATACGAGCAATGCTTCGGAGACACCTATGATTGGAAACCAGCACCAAATGGAATATCTATCTACTTCGTTTCATTGTTAGGGCTAGCGATGGGGAAGATTGTTGAGTTTCATTGATAATCACTAATTTCTGTTTTTTTCTGTATTGTTTTTATTTTCTAGCCTAATGTTACAGAGATTGATGTTTCAGCTAATCAACATCACATTGAATTGAATAATCTTCGACCATATACAAAATATCATATAACTGTAGCTGCAATCAACGATGTTGGACCAAGTGTGGAAAATGCTCTTGCACTTACTACTCAAGAAGCGAGTAAGTTGGTTCATTGATGTTAATTATATTGGGGAATCGAACGAGTGACCTTGGGTCTGACGTGTAGGGTTGTCACTTAGTATGCTTGAGGCTTTTACGAGTTTACCTTAGTCGATAAACGCAAACGAGACTTTTACCAGGGTCCAGGTAGGCTACCCTGAATCCCCAAAGCGTAATAAAAGGCTTTGTAAGCGTAGAAAGTATATTCTACAAACATCCAGCAATCACAGTACAATCAAGCTTACAACTCTCGTTTATTTATACAACATAGAAATGTCCTTGAGACAGTTAGGAAAATAGTACACTAAAATACACAGCAGCCAATCACACAGCCATAGATTTTCCTGGTGGGAATTGAAATCTTAAGGTCAACTGATTAACCCATGCTGGCAAATGTGAAAAGCAAAGTAAGGCATTTATCAAGCGAATTTTAGGGATCTAACATCCCCGACATGACGTATAATAGATTCAATGATATACTAATTTAACTTCTAAAATTTTTTGGAAATCAGGAATCCATCAACGTTAGACTACTGCCTTTACCAAGCACTGGAAGCACTGGACGGCTGTTTTATCCTGGTATGGGACTACGCATCAATGGTAGTGCGCATCCACCAATCCTGCTACTCGCAGCGTTTTGCGTAAGCTCATCCATCCACTGTCTTCAGTGATCGAGTAGTAGAAGTTGTGGATGCACACTAGCACTGATGCGCAATCCCATAACAGGACAAAACGACCGTCTTTCAGTGCCTCCAAGTTTTTAAAAATATTGGTTCAACATTGATCTGCATTTTGTCACCGTCTTCACCGAATAGAACTATGTCATCGGCATATTCTAAGTTGAAAAGCGTGTTCATTGGTATAAGGTCAACTCCTGAAGAATTTGACGATGAAAGTGTCATCTCTAGAAGTATATCATTGACATAGTTGAATAAGAATAGGGTAAGTAGACAGTCCTGACGGGGATACCATTTGAAATAAAGAATTCCTCTGACAGTTCACCACAAGCTCTCACTCGAACACTACAGGTCGAGTGAGCTTAATACGAGTTACTTGTAGAAACTGAAGATGAGAATCCCAAAGTTAGTCCATCTTTCCATATAACAGCATTGCCTACTCGATTTTCTCAGGATATATGAACTATCTTTCGAAGACTCTGATGATCGGATACTAATTGCCTACGAACGGAGTGGACTGCTGCGCAGTAGGAATCATCCTTCGGTTAGCAAACGGTTATCTCGCTTACGCCCTAAGCGACGCTAGCTGGCAAAAGCCAGTCGAACCTTCTTTATCTTTGCTGAGATTTCGTCAGACACCGGGCCATCAACACTACTGATGATTAGACTCCCACATTCACTCTGTCTTTGATAAATATGTTTATATACTCACTTGATCATCCATAATCTTGTATTTTATAACTCTTTTAGTAATTTGATATTCTGTTTTCATATAAACCTTATAAATCAATAAATTGCAATTCTTAGAACCCGATGGTCCAGTTCGTCGTCTAATAGCTAATGGAACTGCCTCGGATACAATTATCATTAGTTGGGAGAATCCAGCATTGGAACATTTAAATGGTAATGTTGATCGATATTGGATCTGTCGACAACGTATTAAAAATAGTTTAAGCAATGAAGAATTAGCAGAACTTCCATGGCCTGATGATCCTAATGATGAGCATAGGTAAGTTTGATTCTGTTCGTTTTTTACTTTAATTGCTGTTAAATAAACGGGAATATATATATCTGACTAACGGGGCCAACGTACTCCGTTACGGAGCCAGAAACTAGGACGTTCAACGTTTTCTCCTCATTGACGGACACTATTTCATCTAGCTTTGCCTTCGCCTCGTCCATTGGGTGTGACATCAAGTTTAATGTGGAAGAAGCCAAGACCAGATGGGATGTATACCTACGTTTAGGAGAAAGTTTTATTTTCTACGTAATATATGTACACATAGTCTCCAGTTATCTGTTTGCAATTCAAGCTATATTGGCTGGAATATTTGTTCCTCCCCAGGCAGGACGATTGGAGAACGGTGAGACGAAAAGGCAGCTGCTCAAGGTCTGAGGGCAAAGTCGTACTGTTGATTTTTAAAGGTGTTCCCTTCGGAAAACCAGCATCTGAAGCGATGCTGCCTTCTCATAAGAAAGTAAGGGTTAGAAAAGGTCGACCCTGAAAGTGTCACACATCACCCTAAAAAAAGAAAAAACAACATCACAAAACCAAAACCACAATAAAAAATTCATTAGAGGTTTCACACCGTCTTCAAAAAAAAAAATGCCGAAGAACGTCGTGTACTAGGGTTCGCGCTCACGGTAAGTGCTTTAAAGGAGCGGAGCTAATGGCCATTATACTTCGTCATTAAAAAAAAATACATCACCATTCTTCTAAAGGAAGGATCCGTACGTGATAGGCTGGCCAACGGACGGATTCGCCCGCATCCACGTGACTACCCCTCTCCTCCTTCAGGTCCACTACTCGGCTCAAGAATCGAACAAGAGACCTCGTGAGAACCCCACAGGGTAAGGCCGAGTTTTGAGAGCAGACCACAGTGAGCACGGTTGAGCGGTTAATCTCCTAGAACACAGCGGGCCTTGTCTCAAAAAAAAAAAAAAAAAAATCTATGAAAAACAGCGAACAACACACGCGAAACCAACTGGCCTGGAAAACTAGGCGTGGAGGAAAAGAGAGAGATACACACATGGTCCATTTTATATATAGACTGTCAATTGACTTGTCCCTTGTGTCGTTATACTGCTTACTGTACAAATTGCCGGTTTTTGCACTACACCTGTGGGAGGGTACTTGAACATGCCGTTGGGCTCGTATATCTACGTCCGATGCCTTCTTTCAATGAATATGGATTTATTAATATTATATATTTATTAGTTTATATATGTGTAGTTTCTAACCGCTTCTTCAATGATTTAAACAAAAAAACAGGGCACTTATGTGTACGGGAACCCCTTTTTTACCTTATGTACGGAGGTCGTAGAAATCCCCATGAGGTATGCGTGTGAGCAGGAGTATTCGTGACCGAGCACGTTTAACAGGGCGTCCAGACAATAGTGGTTCACTATGTAACCTTCCTTCCTTTCCTTATGAAGAAAGGCACAGTCCTTACTCGCTTCAATATGCTGGTTTTAGCCGAAGGGATACTACCGATTTAACAAGAACAAATACAACAGTACGATAACTGTCTCTTGGCCCTTCTGCAAAACCTTATGACAGCATGCTGCATTTTCCGTCTCTCCACACCGTTCTCAAGATAACCAATCGTCCCTGCATGTGGTCTGGAGGGATAGCAAAATAAATTCCCAGGCGATCGCAAAATATTATCCATGCTTGAATCAATTTGTAGCATCAAAACAAAATATACGTGGTAACCACTTGTGTACATCTATTTAGCGTAGAAAAATAAAACTTATCTTCTTCCTAACCGTTAACGACGGGTATTAACATACCCACCTCGTGTGTTCTCTAGGCTTCTTTCGCACATTAAACTTGATAGTCACGACCCTATATTGGGAAAAGACCGAGAGCGAATGGCAAAGCTATAATGAAACTATAGTTGTCCGTCATATAATGAAAGATGATATAGACGACTCTTTACGATAAGCGAATCCTAAGTTTTTTTCTGGTCCTCCTGTTAACGTGATCTATCGTTGGCACACTAAAGTTTTAGATCGACAGAATATATATAAAATTCCCATACATTGTGATACATTTTATTGAACAGATTATTTCTTTGATTATACAGCAATTATAAGTGAAAAAACATGACACACGAAATTCACTTACCTATGCTTCACATTCATTTGGTATCCTGATGATGCAGTCAACATAGGAATGTTTCTGTCTAAGTTTTCCTATCATATGCTTAAACATTAGTGTTTTTTATGTAATTACAGTCGATATGGGTCATGTGCAACATATTTCGCTCCTAACTATCGATTTCAATCATTACCGATTTTCTAATAAAATGATTGTTCCCAAACTGCTTGGATTCTCTCCAATCTAGAATGTATAATTGTATCTGAGGCAGTTCCATTAGCTATTAGACGACGAACTGGACCATCGGGTTCTAAGAATTGCAATTTATTGATTTATAAGGTTTATATGAAAACAGAATATCAAATTACTAAAAGAGTTATAAAATACAAGATTATGGATGATCAAGTGAGTATATAAACATATTTATCAAAGACAGAGTGAATGTGGGAGTCTAATCATCAGTAGTGTTGATGGCCCGGTGTCTGACGAAATCTCAGCAAAGATAAAGAAGGTTCGACTGGCTTTTGCCAGCTAGCGTCGCTTAGGGCGTAAGCGAGATAACCGTTTGCTAACCGAAGGATGATTCCTACTGCGCAGCAGTCCACTCCGTTCGTAGGCAATTAGTATCCGATCATCAGAGTCTTCGAAAGATAGTTCATATATCCTGAGAAAATCGAGTAGGCAATGCTGTTATATGGAAAGATGGACTAACTTTGGGATTCTCATCTTCAGTTTCTACAAGTAACTCGTATTAAGCTCACTCGACCTGTAGTGTTCGAGTGAGAGCTTGTGGTGAACTGTCAGAGGAATTCTTTATTTCAAATGGTATCCCCGTCAGGACTGTCTACTTACCCTATTCTTATTCAACTATGTCAATGATATACTTCTAGAGATGACACTTTCATCGTCAAATTCTTCAGGAGTTGACCTTATACCAATGAACACGCTTTTCAACTTAGAATATGCCGATGACATAGTTCTATTCGGTGAAGACGGTGACAAAATGCAGATCAATGTTGAACCAATATCTTTAGAAACTTGGAAACACTGAAAGAGGGTCGTTTTGTCCTGTTATGGGACTACGCATCAGTGCTAATGCGAATCCACGACTCCTACTACTCGCTCACTGAAGACAGTGGATGGATGAGCTTACGCAAAACTGTAAGAGCATCATGATTCGCAGATGCGCACTAACACTGATGCGTAGTTCCATACCAGGACAAAACAGCCGTCCAGTGCTTCCAGTGCTTGCTAATGGCAGTAGTCTAACATTGATGGATTCCTGATTTCCAAAAAATTTTAGAAGTTAAATTAGTATATCATTGAATCTATTATACGTCATGTTGGGGATATTAGATCCCCGAAATTCGCTTGATAAATGCCTTACTTTGGTTTTCACGTTTGCGAGCATGGGCTGATCAGGAAAATCTATGGCTGTGATTGGCTGCTGTGTATTTTAGTGTACTATTTTCCTAACTGTCTCAAGGACATTTCTATGTTGTATAAATAAACGAGAGTTGTAAGCTTGATTGTACTGTGATTGCTGGATGTTTGTAGAATATACTTTCTACGCTTACAAAGCCTTTTATTACGCTTTGGGGATTCAGGGTAGCCTACCTGGACCCTGGTAAAAGTCTCGTTTGCGTTTATCGACTAAGGTAAACTCGTAAAAGCCTCAAGCATACTAAGTGACAACCCTACACGTCAGACCCAAGGTCACTCGTTCGATTCCCCAATATAATTAATTATCAGTGAATCAACTTACTTGCTTCTTGAGT